GAAAGAAAAAAAGGAAAAAGGGACAGAGAGACAAAAGGAAGGAAAGAGAGAGAGGGAGAGAGAGAAACCACATGGCCAGCAAGCCACTCCCACAAAGGAGGCCACACCCACAGAGTAGGTTCAAAAAATTTTTTAAACCCACCACTGGCACGCACATTCACATTTGCAACCTGGTAGGGAAGTTATGTGAATCCCACTGCTGGAGGGAGGAATATGGAATATTCCCATAGGAAACAGTTGGTTTTATGTGGTTCACAGCTGGTGGAACTCATTTCATTCCACTTAATGCATGTTCCCAAACCCATCATAAGGAGCAATGAGAAAACATTCAAAATCCAGTGTCTCTATGTTGACATTCATTGCGGGACTTCTAAATGTATTTAACTATCGACAAAGGGATAAAATAAAATTGCTGCTTCTCTTCCTCCTTCCCCTTATAGTACTGAAACAAAATTTCATGTAAGTCATATTTGGTAAATATGTGCATATCTAAGTAAATTAATGCATACTCTGTTTGTGTGTGTGTTTAGATAATATAGATAGATAGATAGATAGATAGATAGATAGATAGATAGATGATAGATAGATGTACAAACTTATCTTTCCTTCTAAAATTCAGTAAACCAGAATTTCATATAAATTAGCTTCTGTATTTCTTCTCTTGCAATATACTCTTGTAAATATCCACAAAGGAGGCAGGTCAATATTATTCAATCAATACTGTTCCCAGGCAAGTGAAATAAATTTATTTTAAACCACACTTTTCTTATAGATGCTGAAAGTTATTCAAGACTCTTCTGTTATTTTCTACAATGATTCTACATGATTCTACAATGATTCTACATGACCAGCCCAAAGTCATTCAGTGAGCTTCTATGCTTGAGAGATCTCTTGAATATAGGTCATCACAGTCCAGCAACTTAATCCCTTACACTAGTTGTATCTAAGCAGTCAATCAATGTAAATATGATTCCATCATTGTAAACATCTTTATTATGGTTTGATTTCTATGAGAGATTCCAACAAATAAGAAAACATCTCTGGTGCCTTTGAAGTGACCACATGAGCTGCCCTATACTGAGATGTTAAAAAATGTGTAAATTAAAAATGCTACCGCTGTTGCAAACTTGTTAGACCAAATTCAGTTTGAAGTTGTGAAAAATCCTTAAAATAATTGACACATAATTGATTTAAAGCCACTATCTCAGCTTCTCACTGATACAGATGTTAAAGTAATAAATATGATGTTTAATTTTATATAGCAAAATTTTGGAATCTGACTATGATGAATTACTATTCTACTATACTTTTGGCAATGGCTAAAAGAATCATATTTAAAAATGGGGGGGGGAGTATATTATTTCCGGATATTAAGTTTTGTTCTTGGAAATGTGGTATTATTATGCAAAATTTTCTTTTTCTATCTTTTGTTTCTAATTATATGGTATTATATATTTTATAAATCTTGATTTGTATAAATTTGTATCTTCACTTTTCGCCATAACTCTAATCCTTTAATGTTGTAATTTGTTAAATTTTGTTAAAGGACTTTAAGAGCTTTAGCAATGCTTTTATTGTTCTGTATTCTGTTTATATTTTACAATCTTATACAAATAAAAAAAACAAAGTCATTGTGAATTCTTTCATTATGTAATTGTTTTCCAATTGATAATATAACATATTGTGATTCTTTCTAGTGTCACTTCATAATATAAAAAAAATAATGCAAGGTCCATTTTTAATATTATACTGTGGCTCAAATTCTGTCTTACCACATAACTTCAGCCATCATTGTTGGTTCTATTTTGCCCTGAAAAAATAATTTCCTTGCCCCAATTTACCTCAAACTCCACTGACGCAAACAGTTACAAAACAGATAGGGATCTGGGGGTGCCGTACATGACCACTACATAGTTCTCAGTGAAAATATTCATTAAATGATCTGAAGTTTGGAAAATGCATTAAAAATTATTCCTTATTCATTTAATTTCCAAAACCGTTTCATAGGCAATGGACTTACATGATGAGGTTACAAAGTAGGAAGAGAAAAACAATTAAACGGAAGCTTGATACGTGGCAACTAAATACATAATGTTTCAAATATTCCACCAGCGTTAATGTACTTTATTCCAACCAAGTCTAACATAGACCATAATTCATTCCACAAATCCATATTTCAGGACAACATCCCAAGTCAAGGGTTTCAAATGATCTATCTGAAATCTAATGATTTGCTTTTGAACCTTTAATAAAAGTTGAACTAAAAAGAAAACTTAAGAGCTTTGGAGCCTTAGCCGAGTCTTTGTAAGCACATCTGGTTTAATACTGAAGTGTTTCTTCACCATTTTCTAGAGTAAAGTGTCAAAGGCTTTCCTCGGATACTGTATCTAGACTGAAATAACATTATCCACTTTTGAGTTTTGTTTTTTTTTTAAAGCATAAGTGTTAGACTAAAGATTCTGTTGCAAGATAGCAACAAATTGGTGCTTTCAGTCCACAAAGAAATATGCCACTTTTTAGGGTACAATAGGTGTTCTGGCAATGTCCATAGTAGAGGTGTGGGGAAAAGAGGTGGCCCAACAAGAGCCGAGGTGGCGCAGTGGTTAAATGCAGTACTGCAGGCTACTTCAGCTGACTGCAGTTCTGCAGTTCGGCTGTTCAAATCTCACCGGCTCAGGGTTGACTCAGCCTTCCATCCTTCCGAGGTGGGTAAAATGAGGACCCAGATTGTTGTTGGGGGCAATATGCTGACTCTGTAAACCGCTTAGAGAGGGCTGAAAGCCCTATGAAGCGGTATATAAGTCTAACTGCTATTGCTATTGCTATTGGTATCTCATTTGGTGCTAACAATGGACACCAGAAATCCCAAGGGTCAACTTTCTCTCCCAATGTTTTCATTAGTATGGAAAATAATTGGAAAAACATGTCTTCTGTCAATTTACTTGTTTATTTTAAGCAATCTATATAGCTGCCCATTTCATTTCTTTTTTCCTGTTTCTCCACCATGGCGCAAAAAAATGGGGAGGAAGTTTCTCTGCATTGATAGTCCTGTGGTAAAGCTAGCTACTCTCTTCGGCTTCACTGTGGGGCTGCTGGCTCCAGAATTCCCATGGTGCTGATGTGAAGCTGTGGGCAACTTCATTTTTGTACCATTGCTGTCACAAAGCTGTCCATAGTGAAGCGGGTGCCCATGGTTTCATTACAGGTCTTCTGCAGTAGAACTGTCATCTTGAAGCTTTGCAGGAGAACATTCTGTAAGGTCAAGGTTTGAGTGTCCAGTAATGTCTGACTCTAGGGAGCGATGCTCTTAGCTGATGGAGCCAACGTTGTCTGGAGACATTTTCTGTGGTCATGTGGCTGGCATATATATACACCAAAGGTGCACAGAATGCTGTTATCTTCCCAGTGGTACCTATTAATCTACTTGCATTTGCATGCTTTCGAACTGCCAGGTGAGCAGGAGCTGGGAGAAGAAATGGGAGCTTACCCCATTACATGGCACTTGAGTCTCAAACTCGGGCCAGTCAGCTGACAATCTCAGCATCTTTAACCACTGAGCCATCATGACCCCCCTCCCCCCCAAACATTGTACACTTGTGGCAACATTCTACAGCAAAGTCATAGAGATGGACAGCAGTACCAAGCTGTGGAGGATACTGTAAACCGTAATACAATCAGAAGTCAAGGAGCATGGAAAACAAGTGGAGGCTGCCCTTGTAGTATCCAAAGCCAGGTTGAAGATGAGTTCGTGGTTTCATGTCCTTAACCTGAATGGGGCTTCCTCGTGCCCTGGTATGCAGGATGTGTGGCTGAGTTCATTATACAAACTACCTGAGGTAGATAAGCTCATGGTTTCTCTTCTCTGCTCCTGTCAATGTGTTTCATAGACTGCTAAGGAAAGACAAGGGGAGAAAATCTTTTAACACGTCTTCTGGTTGACCAAATGACTCTCCTTTGTTTACTTGCTTTTAGTGTACCAGAGGCAACAAGTGATTCTTTTCATGTATCCATTAAAAGTCCTGTTCAACCGTTTTGCTTTACTCTTCTTTGTTTTCCCATACCAATATCCAGAACATGGTCAGAACCTGCAAAAGAATGTACAGTAGGAATTAGAACGGCTACACTTCTACACACATCACATAATACACAGACCAAGGGTGTCAAACTCATGTCATCACAGCAGTGTCACGTGGTGTATTGGAATTTTCTTCCCCTTCACTAAACCAGGCGTGGGCATGGCCAGCATGTGACACATCTGGCCCGCGGGACACGAGTTTGACAGCTCTGAGACAAACTGCCCAGAGATGATAAAAATGTTCTGCTTCTCCTTTCTTTCTTACATATTAATAATAAACTTTTTTCTAAATTTACATTTAAGAAACGTATACACCCTATCAAAGAACAATTTTTATCATCCAGATAAAATACACTTTTCTCAAAATGTATTTTTAGCAAGTTGTGAAATTATCCAATCCTTTCAATGATCAAAATGAACAGGACATTTTGTCAAAGTTTTTTTTCCCCATCTTGAATCTCAACCTTCATGATCAAGTGTGCTGAGTATCATATATCAGTGTTTTCTTTTTTTATAATTATTCCTATATTGGCAATATATAAAATTCATCTCTGATCATTGTGAGCACATTAATGAATCGAGAAAAATCAAGATCAGTTATAATTAAAAATGGTATTTCTTTCTTTATCTATCTATCTATCTATCTATCTATCTATCTATCTATCTATCTATCTATCTATCTATCTATCCTCTTGTAACCAACTCAATCAGGTGCCCATAAACTTTTACTAAAATGAATAGGGTAATAGGAGTGATTTGATGTTTATAATTATGAACTTTAATCTGAGCTAGAGTGATCAGCAAAGAGAAAACAAAATCTACTACATTTATGCAAGTTTGTCATCAAGGTGTATATAAAAATGGAGACTTCAGGTGACCGAAATCAAAATTCCCATCGGGTATTTGACAAAGCACGGTTGCCGAGATGGTTTCTTCTATGACCAACAGGAAGACTTCATTGAAAGGTATGTCTTATTTATTATTCTTTTCCATGTTTTTCCTGAATAGGAGCAATTTTGTAAACAAGTAACAACACATTTTTGACTGATAAAAATTAAGCATTTCACAATCAGTTATGCAAAAGAAACAAGAATTAAAAAAACAAAGAACTTATGGAAATCCTATGAAATGAATGGGAAATCCACAAGACCACCTTATGTCCTTAAGGGATGGATCATATCCGTGGTTTAGCATCATTCTATATTAAAAAGAGTATCAGATGTTGTCAGTGCTTTAAATTTATTTAAAAATAAAACTGTTATAGTGCTGCTTTTCTGGACCACTCTAACCAAAATAAAGCGCAAACCTATGAATGACCAATCAGACATAAATTTAATTAAAAGCTAATGGAGCACCTACATGGAATACTATATATAAGACAGGGCAGGAAAAACTACCACGTATTAAATTGTTGCTCAGAGAAGCAACTTTGTCTACTGAGTATGGGGCTGCATAGTGTAAGACTGAAATCTTTTTGATTCCTTGTGTATGATTTATCTAATGAGAAGTGCAAAAGTATGAATCCTGGGATTTCCTGTATGCTCAGGATCTGCTGCACCACTAGGCTGTAATTTTTTCCAACTTAGCTTGTGCCAACATAAACCTCATTTATTTGGTACATGCTCTTAACACAGTCATTTGCTTTTGTAAAAAAAAGAAAACACGCATAGGGCATTGTCTAATCAAATCAATGTACTGATTAATCAGTAATTAATTTTATAGGTTTTATATGAGACATGATCTCAGGAGGTCTTTGGCTCTCTTCAGATATTCAGCACCAACTCTCTGTAAAAGTGTATTCACGCCAAAGACCTTAAACAGCACAGCGGCTGGAAATTTGCAGGCAGCACCCCAAGACAATCAAAAATCTACTTATTTCCCTTCCCTCAAATTTAATTTAGAAACCATATGTTTGTCAAGAAGGAAGTCACTCTTGGAAACAGCTATAAAGGAAAGGGGTTTAACTACACTTCCACTCTTTTACACTTATTGTTGCTATGATTATTATTATTACGTAGTTTTTATATCCTATCTCTGCTAAGGTGAAAAGGTTGAATTCCTCACATATGGTTATTTAAGAAGTCAAGCATTAAAATAAGAGGTCATGGAATACCAAACATAGTTTTTTTTCTTTTCTTGATTTACTTCATCTTCTGAGTATCTGCCTTTCCCTTTTTGTCTTCAAGGCCTATTTCTAGCCACTGTGCTGCTGGCTAATATGTTCCTTTCAAGGAAGTGTGTGACATCTTCACCCATTTGCCCTAATGGGTCTGACAATTGCCAGGTTTCTCTTGGGGACCTTTTTGACCGGGCTGTTAAACTATCGCATTATATCCACTCTCTGTCTGCTGAAATATTCAATGAGTTTGTAAGTATTTTGGCATAAGGGGAAAACTAATCCTGTAACAGAGGCTAAACCAGAGGTGGGTTCCTATCAATTTGGACTGGTTCGGCTGAACCGGTAGTGGTTTGCTAGTCTGGGTTGCCAGAACCAGCAGTAATGCCGGCAGCAACTCACCCCTGGGCTAAACCATGTGTTCCTAAACAACAACTCCAGGCATCCCTTGTCAGCTAATAATCATTTCTGGATTTGCCAGGAATTGTAGACCAGTAACATCTGAACTTCCTCAAGTAGGCCACCAGTATTTTGTGAAGGCCAGTTTGATTTTTTAAAATCATAGTTTTCTTATTTCTTCTGGCTCAGTTTCACAATGGGTAAAATATAACGTATTGGCTCAGTGTTTTATTATCTAAATGGAAATGTAATTTGAAAAGGCTGCCTTTATTTTTGCTAGGTTGTTCCAACAAACGTTATTGCTTGTTGAAATTAAAAGATTCTTAAACTACAGGTAGTCATTGACTTACAACAGTGTGTTTAATGACTGTTTGAAGTTATAACGGTGCTGAAAAAAATAACTTATGACTGTTTTTCACATTCACGACTGTTGCAGCATGTCACGTGATCAAAATTCAGATGCTTGGCATATTTATGACGGTTGCAGTGTTCTGGGATCATGTGATCCACCTTTTGCGACCTTCTCACAAGCAAAATCAATAGAGAAGCCAGATTCACTTAAGACCAGGGTTACTAACTTAACAACAGCAGTGATTCTCTTAAAAGAAAGGTCAGTGGTGGCACAGTGGTCAGAGGGCAGTATTGTAGGGCTAACTCACTGCTTACTCCAGAAGTTTGATTCTCACCACCTCAAGGTTGACTGAGCCTTCCAACCTTCTGAGGTGGGTAAAATGAGGACCTGGATTGTTAGGGGCAATATGATGACTCTTTAAACTGCTTAGAGAGGGCCGGAAAGCACTGTGAAGCAGTGTATAAGTCTAAGTGTTATTGCTAAAATGGGCAAAATTCACTTAACAACTGTCTCACTTAGCAGCAGAAATGTTGGGCTCAATTGTGGTTGTAAGTGGAGGACTACCTGTATTTGTGGAAAAGTTATCAAAGCTCCATAATAAAGTTAGCTTTACACAAGCTTTTGAGTGGATTTCTAGATTGGAAACCAACAAGATATTATGCTTCATATCTTCAAATTGAGATAAGAAACAGAGTTTTCAGAGTCTGCTCTAATACACTTTTCCTCAGTGAAACAAGTTCACCTCTATTCCTTTTAAAGTAAGATGTCCTATTATTTCTTAAGGCGCAAGTGTAGGAAATGGGATGGGGCAGGATAGTTAGTCTCATTAATAGATCCATTGTAGCGAAAGCTTCATCTACCCTGGGGAACTGAACCTCAACAAAGAACGTGGAAGAAGGGAAACATTGTCTTCTGTACACAGAAGTCATTTAAAGTAACAAAATGAAAACGTGCAAGACTAAGTAACAAATGTCCAAGTGAAAGATTTGCTCAGAGAAAAATAACTAAATGCATGCAAGAAGGCTATATTAGAGTAGGGCAGAAAATATACTCTCTGAGGAACTGTGGGACGTGGGCCACTTCATACCATAAAGAAGCTTTTGTTAATATGGGAAAACACGATGCTTAAAACTGATTTCCTTTCACAGTATACATAGAGGAAGATCACCTTTGACTAAGCCATGCAATAAGGTTGGGAGACAAAACTAATGCCCTCTATAGCAATAGCAATAGCACTAGCAGTTAGACTTATATACCGCTTCATAGGGCTTTCAGCCCTCTCTAAGCGGTTTACAGAGTCAGCATATCGCCCCCACAGTCTGGGTCCTCATTTCACCCACCTCGGAAGGATGGAAGGCTGAGTCAACCTTGAGCCGGTCAGATTAGAACCGCTGAACTGCAGATAACAGTCAGCTGAAGTGGCCTGCAGTACTGCACCCTAACCACTGCGCCACCTCGGCTCTATAACTCTAGGATACATTTTACAAGGCAACCAATGAGAGCAAAAAACAGTCTATTTCCCCTCCAAAAAATCTTGGTTATTCTACTTCACTAAATGTCATCTTTGTTTACTGTCAGGATGAACGCTATGCTCAGGGCCGGGGTTTCATTGCAAAGGCCGTTAACAGCTGCCATACTTCTTCCCTAACCACTCCTGAAGATAAAGAACAAGCTCAGCAGATACATGTAAGTTGTCTCGGTTTGTTGACAGATGCGAGCAAGTTCACCAGAAATCTGATGAAATCCTTTCAAAGCACACCGTTACAATAAATAGAGTTATAAAAGGGCAGCTCTACCATTGCTCCACCTCTGTAAGTGGTAGGAATCAGAAAAGCACAAAACACGGAAGCATGCTCTGACCTATATGAACGAAAAAGAAAGACAATACAAAACAAGTTTGGTCTTTCACAAGGCTGGAAAAATCCAGGGAGGATTGATGAAAGCACATCTCCTTTAACTGTCCTAAGAAGAGATGGGGAGATGCAAATTTTTGTGAAGAGATGCATAAACAGAAGACAATAGGTGAACTTGTCTATATATTCCCTAGCAGGAGAGAAAAAATACATCTGGCCAAAAAGGCAAAAAATAATAATTCTAAAAGGTCAGGGGCTAAAACTCTATTGCAATGATCTCTTGATCACACACAAGTTTCCTCAATGTTCCAGTTTCGGAAATAAAACACACCTTACTGAATAATTGCATTTTACAGAAAGTTTCTCCTCTGTGTACTTGAAGAGGAAATCTTTGGAATGTTAAGATATCGCTTGAGAGCCCATTCCTATTGATTCAATTTCAAATGCCATTCATCCACTGAATAATCTCCCTTTTCAGAAAGCAAAACATGTGCCACAAATATTTGAGATATGTATGTGTCTGGCATTTATCTATGTTTGCACGGGGTACTTGGGATGTTTGAGCCTTTCAATACAGTAGCACAATAGCAATTCTCCCATGAGAAGCAGGAGGAAATTTATGCCACAGAATAGATGCATTTTTTGCAATGTAGGTAAGGAAAGTGAAAAGTGATTGTGTCAACATTGGAGAGGTCTCAAGGACAGGCACAATGGCTAGGAGGATCCTCCGAAAGCCAAAAGCCCTTTGATCTTTCAGCTCACCTCAAGCAGTGGCAAATTTTCAAAAGAAAAGAAATCTTCCCAGAAGCAAAACACTTGAAATCAGCCTTGTGTCTGAGCATGTTTGCAGGATTTGATGTAGACACAATAAATGCTTCAGGATGAGATATTAAGCGGCCTACCACAGATCACTTCTTCCATTATATCTTCAAATATTTTCTAGATCCCTTATTTCTAAAAATGTATCATTAATGCTCATGCTAATCTTTGGATTAAATGGCATTTATACAACAAAGATGAATGGAGTGATTTCTACTGGCAGGACAGATAATTTACTGAGAGTTTTATATTTAGGGCATTCTCTTATCTAGTTACATTTAAAAGAAAAAGACCTTGTAATTACACTATAGCCTGCAGTTTAGCTATATCTGATAGATGGACAAAATTGTAGTAAAGACATTTTAAGGTAGGCTTGATTTAAAAAATGTTCCATATCTGTTGTGTAGATTTTGCACACTTAACTGTACAATTTTGTTGCCAATGAACAGCACGAGGACCTACTAAATCTAGTTTTGAGTGTGCTCCGTTCCTGGAATGACCCCTTATTGCACCTGGTCTCTGAAGTTGAACGAATCAAGGAAGCTCCTGATACCATTCTCTGGAAGGCCATGGAGATTGAGGAGCAAAATAAACGACTTCTTGAGGGGATGGAGAGAATAGTTGGACGGGTGAGTCAAAAAAGAATAATCCTCTGAAGTCCTTCCAGCTTCATAACACTATTCAAAATGTATAAAATGAGACAGATTTTTTGTTGTTGTTTGTTTGGATTAAAATGCTTCAAAGAAAGAAAGAAAGAAGTTAAAAGTGTCAGCAAAACCTTTCAGATCTGGAGATCTGTTTGGCATGTATAAGAAGTAGCAAAATATCTTGTTCTTTACTAATAAAAAAGTTACGAAGTGCCAAACAACAAAGCATAAAGCTGATCTTGTAATTTTTTTTCTTAACACTAAGAAAAGGACACGGCCCAACCTAAACTGAGAATCAGCAAACAGGGTAGGAAAACTTTTATCTTGCCCCTACCTTATATTTTATAAAATTAACATTGTTCTGCTGCACATGAAAGTGCTGAAAAAATAATAATATTCATTGATACCATTTTTTTTCTTTTTAACATTTCCTTGCAGAGGGAATTTAATCTTCTTCTTGCCCTCTACACAGGCTGAGACTAGAAAAAAAGCCGTTTACAAAAAAACCCCTCAAAATCAGCTGCACATTACAAACTTCATATGTCATTTAGTTAGTTTGAAAGCACATTTTTAACATATGTACGTATGTGCCTTAGAAAAGTAATAGAATGAGCAAGACTGTGCCATGAAGGAAGATAATAAATAAAAGTTGTTGCATATCTAGTTAGTACATACTTTGTACATTAAAAGTGTTAAGCTAACGTTCTTTCTTTCCACGCTTGTTTGAACCAAGAATGTTTCTGAATTCTCTTTATTAATTTATTATCTTAATTTCTACTGTGTCATATTCAAAATTGACTGTGAAAATGAAGGACAGTAATTGAAAGCAAACACATCAAAATAGGCACCAGTATTTCTAAGCAATTTTAAGGTGCATGACAGTGGTAAAATTTAAAAATTATCCCTACTGGTTCTGTGGGCATGGCTTGGTGGTCATGGTCATGTGACCATGTGAGCTCAAGAACCAACTATCACACTTTACACAAAATTAACACAAAAGCTACACAACTCACTCCTACACAACTGACTCACACACAATGCAGAAGAAGCTGGACTTCACACAAAGTGACCCCTGCAACAAGCAGGAACCTCATAGAGTCACGGTTAGGGCTAATAGGTAGTAAAAAATGCTTTTAAAAAGTAAAAAAAGAAAGAAAGAAAGAAAAAAGAAATAGGTTCTGACATCCTCCAGCACAGCTGATTGTCAAACAGCTGATAGTCAAAACCTTTTTTAAACTTTTTAAAGCATTTTATTACTACCAGTTGGGTGAATATGCAGTAAAAAATACTTAAAAAAAAGTTTTTTAAAAGGTTCATTAGCTGTGACAATCAGCTGTGCCACACAACCATGGGAATCTTTTTTTAAAAAACTTTTTAAAAGCATTTTTTGTTACCAGTTCAGGAACCGGAAGCATTTGTTACTACTGATTTCAGCAAATTGATAGCATTTCACCCCGGTGCATGCCATCATTTTCTTTTCATATTTGCCTTTTCTTTCAGCAGTTGAAATAGTTACTTTTTAGAGAAAGACACCTAGGCAGCATTTACTATGTAAAGTTTAAATATGACTTTAAAAAAGCAGCTATCCATTCTAAGCAAGGATACTAAACCTTTTTCACAACCATATTGTTGTATTTTCTGTTTTCCCTGATCTATCAGGAGTAGGCTAATGTGAGTGCCTTCCATCCTCAAATGAGTGCTTACAACATTTATCTGAAAATGCCTGCATATTCAAGCATTTCAGATTATCATTACTGGCCAATGTTTCCTTAGCACATAAGTCCTAGATTACTAATACCTAGATGACAAGCCCTATTGTTTTCTGGAGTTAGTTACACAACATCAGGTAGAATGCTTCTCTTTTTCCATTTTAACATATTCAGCCTATAATCCCCCCTCCACCCCCGGGATCGTAGATTTAAAGTATTCGTCCTTTAGACTGGTGGTGACCTTTTTAGGTTGCCTCTGTTGAACTGCCAAATGATACAAATTGAATATACCATAGTATCTACAGCAAACTTTCCCAATCTAATGCTCAACATTGTCTGAACATTGGGCATGTTGGTACAAGATATTTTGAATTGAATTGAACACTTTACTTGGCCAAGTGCGATTAGACAGACAAAGAATTTGTCTCTGGTATAAAAGCACTCAGTGTACATGCAGGCAATAGAATAACAATAATTAACAATTACAATAATAACAATGTTGGTGCCAATAAAAGGGGGAGAAAAGAAGATAATAAAAAGGATAACTAATACAACAGCCACATTACATGGGTTAAAAGAAATCAGGCAGCACTGAGAGAATTTAGTATTCAACAGAATGAACTTTTTACTTATATTTCACCAATCTTTCGTAATGCAAGTTCATGTCAAGATATAGTGTATATACAAGATAATTAGAATGCACTTTGAATGTTAGAGCTGCAAAGCTTGCCTACTTTCACCAATCAAAGGCTTTTATTATAGTAAAATACAATATCTTCCCTTCCCCCCTCAAATTTACCTTACCCTGCTTTAATTACTGGGCATTTTAAAACCTAAGCCAAGATCTGCTCAGATTCCAAATTACCATCTGATAAATCTTCAGTCATGTTACATCTCGCTAAGGCATGAGTGCAAAAAGTATGGCCGAGAAGCATTTTTGGTACTATCAAAGCTGATGGAACCAGACATTTTGACTACACACACACACACACACACACACACACACACAAACAGATGATGAGAGACGTTTGGTGCAGTGGTTTAAGGCATCAAACTGGGACATCATCAGTTTCAGACGCAAAGCCAGCTGGGTGACCTTGGGCCAGTCACTCTCTCTTAGTCCTGTAAGGAGGCAATGGCAAACCACTTCCAAAAAACTTGCTAAAAATAAACAGAAGGGACTTATTCAGGCAGTCACCAGGAGTAAACACTGATTATAAAACTACCTATATCTATAGCTCCACATCTATCTATCATCTATCTATCTATCTATCTATCTATCTATCTATCTATCTATCTATCTATCTATCTATCTATCTATCTATCTATCATCTATCTNCCCCCCCCCGAGGTCAAACACAACTCTGATGCAGCCCTCAGTGAAATTGAGTTTGACACCCTTGTACTATAGGTTGTGGCATTATGCCACAATTCTTTTGCTACCAAATATTCATGATGGCTAATTTGTCCAGATATCTGATGTTAGATTATCATGATATAACAAGTGTATTTCATTCTCTTTTTTTATACAGCAGCTTTCATTGGTAGAATTATATTTTCATGAATGACACAACTCAATTTAACTCAATTACCCATTAATCAAATTTCTATTAAAATTAGTTTAACATATAACAATCTGTTCCAAATCTAATCTTTCCTTAAGGGGTAATTACACCATAAGATTAGCTGAAATGACAACTTGCTTTCTATCTGCAGAAAAACAAAACAAAAACTATCCAGCCTAGAGTTTAAAAACAAGACTGAAAAATATGACAATCAAAATAGTTAATTAGCCGACTCGATTATGCAAATCTCTTTTTAGCTGTATAACTTTTTTTTCAACACAGGCAAGGGCTGATGGAAATTTCAGATAAATTTTAAATTTTCACAAACCTTGTCAAATGTGTCATTGCCCTTTGAGGAGAGTAGATGGACTTTAAGTAATAAATATAAATGTACCTGTTATAAAAAAGCAGATGTTGCATTTTTGAAAGGGGTAATGTAATAATAGTTTATGTGACCTTTGTCAAAAAAATATTTCATTTAGCATAACAAGTAATTAAGAAAGGATATATTGACTACAAAATGCAACTATCTGAAAAGAAACCCAGAAGAATATTAGACTTACATATTACCTTGTCTCCTATTCTTTCTTACCTGCCATAATTCAGTCAGCATCAAACCATAAGCTGGCCTAAATATTTTAGCAGCCCAATTATAGCTTGCCTCCAAGCCAGGATTACAAAAACAGTGTGACTCTGTAAGCATAAACTAATGTGAACGAGGAAACATCTTGTTACTAAACTAGAAACAGAAGTTCTGGACTTCATTAGGCTATTTAAGAATGTTGTCACTGTAAAAGGCCAAATCCTATTGATGTGCAACTGCCACCAGAAAACATTTAGTCCAAGCAGAACTCCATGCCATTTAACAAAGCATTTTAAAATGTTTGTGGGGCTGCTGCTTTTCCACTTATATTATAGTATTGCAGCTTCCAATTAGGATGCCAACATGTTAAAAGGAAAAGCCCGGCATTGCAAGCAAAAAATGATAAATACATGCATAGCATGCTAAATACTGAACAGTAAGCTTCATTATTTGGAATAAATATGGGTGAAAGTGCATATGATTTGTGAATAGCAGAAGTTTCAAACCAAGTATATAAGGAGAATACCATATCGAGAAGGCTGGTCTCAATGTTTTGTCACAGACCCATTCCACTAGCTACTCAGGGTTGTGAAACTTCTGGCCCGCGGGCCAGGTGTGTCACATGCACACCACGCCCACCCCAGCTTCACAAGGGGTAGAAATGTTGCAATATGTCACGGGACAGCAACGTGATTCCGCAAGTTTAACACCCATGCACTAGTGCTAATAAAATGTATATATATTGAAGTACAGGGAAAGAAAATAATGTTAGAGCTTTTCAGTAACAAGCAAAGAAAAATTTCATAGCTATGTCCTACTTATTTGAGATCGGGATTTTTTTTTTACCCTTCAAGTCCAAGACACACTAGAAGCACTAGCTAAAGTAGTACAAAACATCAAACTCTGCAATATATTTTGCTATTTACGTACTATTAGCATCACTTTATCAGAAGGCATGTTTGTTATTACAGGATGTCTTTTAGATTGTAATTAACTAATCCATTCAACAACAGAAATTAGGTCCTGGTCTTTTTTTAAATGTATTTGTGTTTTTGTAGGGGGGCGGGGGGAGTCTTACTTCTCCCAACTGCAGTGAAACACTTGCATTTCAGGAAAATGTGCCAATTCAGCTTATCAGCATTTCACAATGCAATCATTGGGAACTATTTTTCTTCTGTAGCAAAAATAAGCAACTCTGACAGACTGGGAGGGATTGACAAAAGGGAAGAAAACATGCAATTTGAGTAGTAAATTGATAATTTAAAAGATTCAAATTCTGTAACATATAAACTGTATTTTCAACTATACAGAGGACATGTCACCTTAAATTATCATTTTTTTAAAAAAATCCAAAGCCTTATTAAACACCATTTACTTGAAGCTAAAGGAAACCTCTATATCAGAAGCTACACATTTCTTAGAACTTATTTCTTTTTGTTTATTTATTAAATTTATTGGCTGCTTGTTTTACCAAAGGGCAACTCCGGGTGGAGTTGCTTTTCTCCTAGGAGAAAAAAAAAACCTGAGCATTTCCCAATTGTTAAAGAAATTACATGAAGAGTAATACAAAAGCAGGCAAAAAGAAAAATGGCAACAGTCTAGAAAAGTCAAAATGCCAAAAGAGAAGTGAGGAGGAATGTAAAGCAACCAGGGGAAAAAATTTTCTGACCAAAGTGTGGACCACTAACCTTGACAACCCATAGTGAAACAAAACGTGTTATCTTTCTCTTGTCTTTCTTTCTGAATTCTGTCAGAACTCTCAGAACTTTCCAATGTAGTAAGGCTAAAATTATCATTTGTGCCTATGGATTCACACTGTTTTTCTTTAACTGATGTAAGAGAAAGTCTATGTTTAGCTAAGCAATGTGATTTCATCTTTTAACACACTAGTAGACTTTTCCCGCTCAGCCTATATAAATGCATGTTTACTGTTGTGAAATAACCAACATTAAGAGCAAAAAAGCAGCTTCCTTTTACAGGAAATCCCTCTCTACACAACGCTAATAGCAGCTGCTTTGGGATTTATGCA